TCCACTGTCCTCTGCTGACGCTGAGGACATCATCACGGTCAGCCCAGCCAAGGAGCTCTGATGAAACCATGAGGTGTGTAAGCCGTGTGCTAGGTGTCTTTCCGCCGAGATGGAAATGCAGCTTTGTCTAGGAGATGCTTTCTGCCCTGGCAGGAAGCCAGGCAGGGTGGTAAAGACAGGCTGCGTCTGTCCCGTGCCCCTGGCAGGGCGCACTGAGAAAGCCTCTCTGTAGGTTACACTGGAGACATGACTCTGAGGCCGTATCTGATTTCCTTCATCTGAGTCATGACTGCCCCTGTGTGTCCAGGAGTTTGCATTTCGCTGGTGGTGTTTATTTTTTTTTAATTTATCTGCTTTGAGAGAGAGAGAGCACAAATGGGGGAGGAACAGAGAGAGAGGGAGAGAGAGAGAATCCGAAGCAGGCTCTGAGCTGTCAGCAGAGAGCCCAGGGCGGGGCTGGAACCCACGAACCGAGAGATCATGACCTGAGCCGAAATCAAGAGTCCGATGCTCAGCCGACTGAGCCACCCAGGCGCCCCTGCTGATGGTGTTTTTTAACTCCAACCCCCAAGGAAGTTTTCCTTCATCTCCTACGTGAAAGTTACTCACAAACGTCTTTTCTTCTCAGTCGCCAATATGTGTGCCTGGGTGCGGTAGCTCTCACAACCTGTGTAGCTGTACAGGTTGTTGTTTGTTTTGCTTTTCAATGTTTATGTTTAAGCGAGAGGGAGAGAGAGAGAGAGAACGCGTGGAGGAGGGGCACAGAGAAGGAGAAAGAGAACCCCAAGGAGGTTCTGCACCATCAGTGCAGAGCCAAACTCGGGGCTTGACCCCACGAACCGTGAGATCACGACCTGAGCCCCGATCAAGGGTTGGACGCTCAAAGGACTGAGCTCCCCAGGCGCGCCCCCCCCCCCAGGTTTTAAATACGGCATTTAAAAGAATTTTTTTTTTTTTTCAACGTTTATTTATTTTTGGGACAGAGAGAGACAGAGCATGAACGGGGAAGGGGCAGAGAGAGAGGGAGACACAGAATGTGAAACAGGCTCCAGGCTCTGAGCCATCAGCCCGGAGCCTGATGCGGGGCTTGAACTCACGGACCACGAGATCATGACCTGGCTGAAGTCGGACGCTTAACCGACTGCGCCACCCAGGCGCCCCAAGAATTTTTTTTTTAATGTTTTTATTTATTTTTGCGACAGAGAGAGACAGAACATGAGCAGGGGAGGGCCAGAGAGAGAGGGAGACACAGAATCGGAAGCAGGCTCCAGGCTCTGAGCTGTCAGCACAGAGCCTGATGCGGGGCTCGAACCCACAGACTGTGAGATCATGACCTGGGCCGAAGTCGGACGCTCAACCGACGAGCCACCCAGGCGCCCCTAAATACGGCATTTAAATAAGCTGTGTTGTTTTCCTGTATCAGCTCCTACAGAAGGTGTCCTGCCCCACACTTCACCTTCCAGAAGGTTAGGAACTCTTTGCCGCCTGGTGGCGTTACGATCTAGGAGAGCGTGAAGAAGTGTGTGTGCACAGACGCGGGCCGGGCTGCCTGAGCATCACCCCTGCAGTTGCCATCTGCACCCTGCACGGGCGCCCCTCCTCCACCTGGGTGCTTCACAGTCTTCCTCAGGGAGACCAGGGAACGGCGTACGGGGGGAAGGCCCGGCGTGGCCGTCCTGCCCCAGCTCCATACCGTCGTGAGGCCGCGGTCTGCGTGCCCTAGCTCGCCGTCACCGTTGTGTGCTGTTTGCTTCCCCGGTGCGCAGGGATCTGCCCTCCCCCCACCCCGCCCCCAGTGGAGCTGTGTGCTCGCGTGCGCAGGGCAGCCCATCTGCGCGGTCCCACGGGTGTTCTGTGTTTGCACAACCGCCGTCTGTCGGGGCGTGTGCCACTTCTGTTACGCCTTCCCTCCCAGCTCCAGCACGCAGTTCCTCGCCTCACCGCCCCACCAGCATCTCCAGCAGGCGGCGTCCCACACCCTTCCCGACCTCAGAAAGGGCGTCTAAGACGCCACCCCACGCACTGGGCTCACTGTGGCTTTTCCGTAGCTGTCCTGTGTCAGATTCAGAATGTTCCAGTACCGTTTCTGCTTTGCTACAAGTTTTTATTGCGTTTCCCTGGAATCTGTTTAGTAATGCTTCGTGTAGGGTCATGGGAGGGACTTCCCGCGGCTGGCCCCTCTCTGAAGGTCCCCATCAGGGTCTGGAGTGAGGACAGATCTCACTGTCTGTTCTCTGGAAACGTCTATGTAAGTTGGGTGTCGTTTTCTCCTTATATGCTGAATAGAAATAACAGGTGAATCCACATAGACCTGAAGTGCTTCCGCAGGATTATTTTTAACTAAAGGTTCCATTTTTTAAATAGAGACAGAAAATTCTCTGTTTCTTCATGTGTCCATTTTGGTAAATTATGCTTTTCTCAGGATCCTGCATGTCATAAAATTAATTAGTTGCATAGACTTGTTCAATGTCTTTTTATTCACTTAACGGTGCAGGTGCACCGTCACCTACACCTGTCACGCCCTGGCTGGTGACTCATCTGCCTTCCCTCGTCAGCCAGACTTGCCAGCTGTTTGAACTTGTTGACGTCTCTCTACCGCATTATTTTCTTTCTTTATTTTCTGCTCTTATGTATATTTCTTCTACATTCATTGTGTTTAATTTGCTGTTGTTTTTCTAGCTTCTTCTGGTGAGTGTTTACATCATCGGTCTATAGCTTCCTTCTTTCCTGATACATTTAAGAGTATAAATTCCCATTTAAGTAGGATTTACTGGCATCCCATATGTTTTGAAATGTTATAATTTCATCAAATTTAAAATGAGTTATTTTTTTATGGTAAAAACAGTATCTACTCATTGCCCTAAAGTTGGAAATCAGGAAAGTACAGCAGGAAAAGCCAACCTATGCTCGCACCTTCCAAGTTAACACCGTTAATGTGCCGGGTGTGGACTCACGCTATCATAATGTGCATCGTTTTCCTTTTTAAAGGTACGCACACAACGCATACACGCCTGTGTGTGTGGAAGAGTGTGATGTGCTGATCATTTCACGGCCTCTTCATTCCTGTTACTATTTCATACTCTTAACACGGAGAACCAATAGCGTGCTTGCACTAAGCACCCAGAACAGGAAATAAGCCACCAGGTACACGTGTGGCTTCGCCAAGACCCAAGGGAATCAGTGACCAGCTCTGGGCACAGCGCGGCTGACAGCGAGGACGCCCCTGGTCACCTGCCTTGTGGCCCCCCAGGGAGCTCTCCTTTGAGATGATAAGATGATAATAAAACACAGTATGGATCACTTTTCTCCAGATTAACGAAGGCGAGCACATATATTTTGAATAGACAACAGTGAGGAGAAATTTATGTATTTAGTTGGTTAGTATAACCGGACCTGGGAAATCATAAATGAAAACAAAGACAAAAAACAAGGACTTCCATAAGCAGCGGTCACCTCTCAAACATTGACATTTTGTAAGACCAGCTTTGGTCTGTCAGCCATACCTCGCAGGTCCCCTGCCAAGGCACGCTACATCAAATAGAATAGAAAAATACCGTGTTCAGTTACTCCCTGGTGATTGAGGGGAGAAAACACACTGCTCATGGGACTGGACAGCCGTCTATGTCATGATTTCCTGGGGAGTGACTTTGGCCCCATGCCAAGTTCAAGGTATGGCCATCATGTATATCACAAGAAAGAGCTGTCATTCAGAAATCAGCAGTGACTTTTTTTCCCGTTTCCAGGACACGGAGTCTAATTCGGCAAGGGCACAAAGCTGGCAGGGTGGGGGCATCTGTGTCGCCTGAGAGAGATGGGGACTCAGGCCCATCTGGACAGACGCTTCCAGTGAGCAGTGTGGTGTGGCCGCCCAGCCGGGGATGCAGGGTGCAGGCTGCGCAGTGGACCCTGGTGTCCAGAGCGCCGGAGGGAGTGACCTGTATCGTTGAGGCGCCCACAGTGCCATCACCTGCCAGTTTGTGTCTCTGACGCCATCAAAGAGCTCGTAGGAAAGCCACCCGAGGGACCGCCCCATGGAGCACAAGGTAGACATCTTGTGCCCAAGTTCAGAGGTCAGGGTAGACGCCCTTGAGTAGAAAGTAGAGGGAAAGAGATTTTTATTCAGCCTACTAATCGTGTTGATTACAGCAAATTTCAGCTCAGTAAAGTTGGCTCTTGTGCCGTGTGTCACCAACTTCACACACAGTGTCACTTCCCACCCGTAATCCGTCACAGGCAGTAGAATGCTGCTCAGACAAATCTAACGAGAACTGGCTGAACAGGAGACTTTCTGGCAAGTGTTGGGGTCCCAGATCTGCTCAGGCAAGGCCTGCAGGGTGCTTAGCTGGCCATGATGCACTGTGGCCATGACATGGTGCGTATGCACTTGTGGGCTCTGTGTTTGCAGGATTTCCAGGGTCACGGTTTCCGCTCAGTGGCCGTGTCCACCATCAGGGCGCTTCCAGCCAGAGACCCACGTTGTTAGCACTGTCTGCCCACCACCGACCCATTTCTGCAGACCAAGAGCCCAAATGGAATACCTCTTGCTGATTCCCATGGGCAAGGTGCCATTATTTATTGTTTATTCTCACATCCAGTGAACTCTTACAAGGCACCAAAGTAAAATTAAAAAAATAAATAAACAAGAATTAATGTTTTCTCCCCCAAGGCCACAGTACTGAAAATTTACTCCCAGTAAAATTGCAACAACTCTTACATCCTTGAAACCTCACCATGTATCCTAATTATAGCAACAGTCAATGTGTGTGTGTCTGTATCTATACAGGACCTTCTAGAACAGGTCAGCTGTTCATTTAACGGTAAGTCCCAGGTTCCTTGATCACATAATTAGTTGAGATAAAGTTGAGAATCACTGAAGTAAATGTTTTAAATTCCTTTCCTACCGAATTTGCAAGATTCTAAGCGAAAACTTTTTTAGCTTCATCTGTTTGTTATAGTTCCATCCACAGAAAGTGGTTGTATTTGAATTTTTGTTTTTATAGATCAGGATTTTCACGATCAACCAAAGAGAAGAAGAGCTAGAAAGCATAAATCAAAGAAAAATTCTAAAGATCCCAATAATATTCATGGAGAACAAGAAGAATTAGAGAAACAGCAGAGTCTTTTGCAAGAAAAATTGCAGCCACAGTGCACAGATGGCCCCACCATCAGCAGAAATAAAAAAAGGAAACTGAAAAAGAAACAGCAAATTAAAAGGAAAAAAGCAGCCGGCGTGATCACCAAAGCTTCTGGCGTCAACTTCCTGTACCAGCCTGAGCAGAGCGACAGCGAACGCGACGTCGAGCAGCAAAGTGATGGTGGGGACGGAGCAGACGCCCGCGGGGGGGATGGCGCAGACGCCCGCGGGGGGGATGGCGCAGACGCCCGCGGGCACTGCAGTACAGACACCGGTGAGGAAAACCATAAAGACAGCAATGAGGAAGGTGTTAAAAGTATCAATGAAAAGGCGGCTGGTATCCTGAACTTTCTAAAGTCAACACAAGAAATTTATTTTTATGACGGTATGTTTTTTCTGTTCTTTTGAATAGCGGCATCCACTTATTTGGAAAAGTAAACAAAGAGGGTAAAATATTTAAGTGTTTAAAGTACAGAACATTAAGATATTCATTAGTTTCGAGGCAAAAATGAGAACATTTAAGTTCCCTCCCCCAAAGCTGGGGAGTGGCCTCGTCCTCCCGAGGCAAATGACAGAAATGGCAGAGTCCTGGCAGGGCTGTGGCCCAACCATAATTGGCCTCGTCGTCCCGATTCCTCTAGAGCCCGATAGCAGAGCAGGGTGGCATTCTCGGCTGTATTTCCCAAGCAAAGGCAAGTCCAGACTGCAGTCCGACGAGCTCACGTTCCCTCCATCAACTCAGAGGGAGGGTGGGAGGCATGGCCGGCTCCTCTAGGACACACTTTGTGTCACCTCCCACACGTGACTTGCTGATTTGAGATCCTCGGTGAGCGGCTCTCTGTGTTGACCGGGGAGACGAAGGACGAGAACCGATAATATTCTCATGGACGGTGACTCCTCCCACTAGTGTTGGGGTTACCGACAGCCGACTTCCGGACCAGAAAGGGACAGGTGCACACGCAGAGCCCCGCGTTCACACCAGGGACAAAGCGCTCACAATGAACCGTTGCCTCAGTCAGGGCCGGGGTGGTTAGTGCTCCCCGTTCCCGCGAGAATCTGCCAGTGCTGTATGCACGAGGTGCAGACAGACCGGCTGTGTGATGACCTGGGAGGCCAGGGACTGATTTAAGCAAGGATGTGGAAGGACCACTGTCAACAGAGCAGCGGAACCATGTCCCCCCATTAGCACATGTGTCAGTACTTTGTACGAACAGGTTGAAAACATACTTAACAACAGTCCAAATGACGCTAATAGGAAGACCGTGAATACAGTGCAGAACGGGAGGCTGGAAAGTTCTCCGTCCAGGATCTGTTCCGTGTGTGGGACAGTGTGTGTGGCAGGCAGCCTGTCCTGCCAGGGAACTGGGACAGCCAGGTTAGATGCACAGGGCATCCGCGAGGTTCTGGGGAAAAGTGCCTCAGGGGACAGATCCTAGAGGACATGGCAGCACGTGAGGGTCGAGCCAGCATTCCACAGCCACCCTTTCCTCCAGGCAGTCTGCCAGGTCTGCACATGGGTCCGAGTCTGCTGAGAAAGGGGAGCGGGAGGACCACGCGCTCTGTTGGTCTCTCTCAGAATCTGCCAGACTGCACGCCAAGGGATGCGAGGTGGCCAGGAGCACAGACGTCTTGGCAGTTTTGAGGTGCAGACGAGGGTGACCAGGGTTGACCCCTGGGGCACCACAGATGGCCACGGGTAGGGCAGAGGACAGGAGCGTGTGGCCAAAACCACGAGAGAGGAGAGCAGGGGTGCGTCCGCAGGTGCGGAGGGCACGGATGTGACCAGACAAGGAATGCAGAGGGCTTGATTAAGGAGCTCACAAAAATAGGGGGAAATGGAGAAAAACAGTGAAGAATTAGAGAATTTCACCAGATAATTTTGGTCTGCTAGGATAATCACACGGAAATTCTGAGAAACAGAATCGCTGAAATGACGAACTCCGTGCCGGGGTAAACAGCCCTTGGGTTCAGCAGAAGAGAGAAGTAGCAGCTGGAAGCAGACCGGAGCGGTGTCCGTAAGGGAGGGTGGGAACAGCAGACAGGAGCGCACTGGGTGCCGCGACCCAGGAGAAGGGGTGACACTTGTGGTTGGCGTCCAGGCCGGGGTGCAGGGGCCGTGTCCACACGACAGTCGGGAGCTCTTCAAAGTGGGTAAAGGCCATCAAGTCATAGACTCAAACAGCTGTGTGAACTCCAAGCAGGATTGAGGCAGAAAACACCACCCCCAGGGGGCAGTGGGGTCTGACTGTTTGCCGCTCAGCACAAACGGGGGGCCTTTGCTCCCGGGCACCTCGGCCACCTTCAGAGCTCGGCCGTGTCCCTGCGGCCCAGCTGCGTGTCTGGAAGGTGTTGCGTGAGACCCAGGCACACGGACGCCGGCCCCCACCGTCCTTCAGCAAGTAGCGTGTTGTGTGCGGGTCAGTGCTCTGCTCTGATGATGGCTCCTACATCCCAGACGGCTCGTTCCAGGTAGAAGTGGTTACACTTGAAGCTTTCCTTAGGAGACGAAAGCTTACCTTCGGTTTAAAGCATAAACATAAAAGTGTGTTTCTAAGTGCTCCTCCTGGCTTCGTTTAGGTATCTGCCAGGATCCAGGCTCGGCCGTCCTCCTGGAAACCACTCAGGAGCTATTTAAGCATCTTGACGGTCACGGCCTGTCCCCCTCAGATGTGCTCCTGCTGGATCACATGAAAAGCCTGTTACTTCTGCAAGATACCCAAGGGCTGAAACGAGCCCTCGAAATGTTCCCGGAACGCTGCGCACTGCCGCCAGGTATGTATTGACCGCTTAGTCAATATGACCTGGACGCCAATATGCTGCTGCAGATGCTCGTGTCCGTGTTGGTCCCGAAAACTTACGCTCCACCAGGGCGGTCAGGAATCAGAAAACGTGAGGACGCACGTACGGCTTGGGAGAATGGAGGAGTGTGGTCCTCGTGTCCCTGCTTGCTGTAAAAGTAATTCACAAGTCAGGGGCGCCTGGGGGGCTCAGTCGGCTAAGCGTCGTGATCTCACCGTTCCTGAGTTCGAGCTCCGCATAGGGCTCTGTGCTGACGGTGCAAAGCCTGCTTGGGATTCTCTGTCTCTGCCCTTCCCTCGCTCACGCTGTGTCTCTCAAAAATAAATAAACAAGCTTAATAATAATAATAATTTGCATGATAGATGCAGAAATGCCTGTGCAACCTGATTTTCCAGACTTGTGAGCTATGAACTAATAGTTTATTGGGGCCAAATATTGTCAGAGAAAATTTCTCCTCTCTTTCTTCTTTCTCCACCACTGCATTGCTAGAAGGTAAATTTTTTCTATCCTCTGAACACCTTGAAGAAGGGTGAATTGTAGGGTTTTCCCTGGTTACTCGCTCAGCCTCGATTGCTGATTCCACACCAGCTGTTGGGTGCAGGAGCCACCTGTGCACAAGTGTTCCCGACACCATGGTCGTGACTTCTCGTTAGTAGCTTGAAATGGGCTGAGGTGGGGACGCTAGGCCACATGAACGTGCAGATAGCAAACCCCAGAAAATCGGGGTCTCTCGAGCGCCCCTCCCGTGCACACCCCAAACAGGCACTGGACATGTGTTCAGACGCATGAACGAAAAGGGGCCTGCCGATTTCTTTGCGGGAATGCCAAAGTAGCCGTGATGGCGGTCCCACCAGAAAGCTCGAAAGCTCGGGCTGCACCCCGGAGCCCAGACATCCCATCAGGAGAAAGGACAGGCGAGTGCAGGGAGGCGCCTCCGAGGTCGGGTGAGTGATGGGACCACGAGCCTTCGTTCTCACGTTGAGGGGCTCGGTCACCAAGCCCCGGTCCTGGCGGAGCTGGCTGCTGGAGCCCCTCCCTGCCCCTCTCTGCTCCTCTCTGCTCTCAGCTGCCGTAGCCTCAGAGACCTGGGCAGGCGAAAGCCCGCCCTTGGGCACGGTGTCCCAGCACGGAGACGAAGACGGGATGAGGACGTGAAACACGTCATGTATGCCCTGGGGCCGCAGCCGGCAGAGAAAGAAATCCGCAGGAGGGGACATTCTTGCAGCCGAGGACAAATGCGCAGGGATGGAGCGCGTCGGGTGCCATGTGGTGGGAGCAGGTGGTGGCTGTGGACAGGCAGGAGAGAGGCCTGCCTGGCCGTGGTGCCGGCCCCGGTGCAAAGTCGAGCCAAGGCATGAGCAAGACCCCAGCTGTCGGGTTGAGACCAGAGTGAAGTGTCCGGAGTGGGAGGCCGGGGGCTTTGATTGTGCTCTGGCTGAAAGAGGCCGTCAGGAGGTGTGGTAGGTTCAGGTCGGCTGTGCAGGTGGAACCCACAGCATCGTCGGCCGACCAGGCATGGGGCCTGCACCCCCGGAAGAGCCTGGTGGCTGGTCATGAGCTGTGACACTCGGGGTGAGACAGGGACCCTTGGGAGCCAGGGTCACATGCTGACTGGACACCCAGCTGGGGGACTTAGGATGAGGCCCTTCACGGAACAGAGAGGATGGAGGCTGGAGACCCCGCCCAGGGCCACTGCAGGGGGAGGCCAGGGGGAGCCTGAAGGGAGGGGTTTCAAGATGGCAGCATCGCAGCGGAGAGGCTGACAGACCTCAGGGCCCTTCTGCTGAGGAGCCGGGCTCGCGGGGCACGGGGCAGCCATAGCTTCCTCAGAGAGCTCAATCCAGGGTCCGCATTCATTGTTGGTTGTCCTATACTGAGCATTTAACTAATTTAAATTTCCAGAAGTTGTTTCTCAAATTGTGAAAAGCCAGTTTTATTAAATTAAATATGAAGTTTTTGTGAGATAAACATAAGTCACTTAAAAATTTTTTAATTTTGGGGGGCACCTGGGTGGCTCAGTCGGTTGAGTATCTGACTCTTGATTTCGGCTCAGGTCATGATCCCAGGGTCGTGGGATCGAGCCCCAAGTCAGGTTCCATGCTGAACGTGGAGCCTGCTTGGGATTCTCTCTCTTCTCTCTCTCTCTCTCTCTCTCTCTCTCTCTCTCTCTCTCTCTCTCTCTCCCCCCCGCCCTTCCCCCACTCCCATTTATACTCTTTCTCCAAAATAAAAAAGAAGAAGATAAACTACATTTAAAATGTTTTTGTTACTTTTTTGTGTGTTTCTCTCACAGAGGCCTTTCTTATGCATTGCCCTGAAACGTGTCAGAAGAGTTTTCGGTAGTAATTGGGGATTTAGCAGAAATATTTCTCTCGGTTTCTTATACTGAAACCATCAGACGTGTTTTGTCTACAAGTGCACTTACTTTAAGTGATTGGCAGAACTAAAACTTACATATGAAGCACTTTTCTTAAAAATGGATTCCCTTTTGTGTATGTAGGATATACATTTAAATTTTTTCTTTTTTTTAAGTTTTTAATTTATTATTAATTTTTTTTGAGAAGGAGAGAGTGTGAGCAGGGGAGGGGCAGACAGAGGGGGAGAGAGAGTCCCAAGCAGGCTCCACACTGTCAGCACAGAGCCTGATGCAGGGCTGGAACTCACAAACCGTGAGATCTTGACCTGAGCCAAAGTCGGACGCTTAACTGACTGAGCCCCCAGGCACCCCTGCATTTAAAATGTTTCTATTTCAAGCTATTTTATTAAAATTAAGAAAAAAAAGAAGTGGGGTGCCTGGGTGGCTCAGTCAGTTGAGCATCCGACTTTGGCTCAGGTCATGATCTCATGGTCTGTGAGTTCAAGCCCCGCATCGGGCTCTGTGCTAATGGCTCAGAGCCTGGAGCCTGCTTCCGATTCTGTGTCTCCCTCTCTCTCTGCCCCTCCCCTGCTCGTGCTCTGTCTCTCTCTGTCTCAAAAATAAATAAAAACATAAAAAGAAAAATTTTAAAAAAGAGAAGTTGTAAATGGTGAAGCTTTGTTTTCAAACACGGCATGTCTGTCCCCGACTTTTCCCTGGAAGTAGCGTGGGAAGCGTGGGGAGCAGGTGCGTGGTCTGTGGGCTGGGCGTGGGTGGCGGTGTCCTGGAAGCTGGCGTAGGGTCCTCCCTGAGCTCCCCCGCCAGCTCAGTCATTACTGTTCCCGACGCTGGGATGTCTCGTGTGGCCAGGCCCTGGACAGTCTCCTCGCAAGCTCAGTGTGCGTGTTTAGTGTGCAGACAAAGCACATCTCACCATATACGCGTGCACACATGTTACCACCAATATCAGCTGCCACTACTGTGTGTCTGTCACGCACCCTGCTTTATGCCTCGCAAGGGACTGAGGGGCCAGTATTGTCACCGAGGAGACGAGGCTGCAGGGGTCAGGCCGCCGTCCCAGGCAGAAGGGCGCCTTCAGAATGGCCTTGGCCGTGTGCCTCTCTTTGCTCGAAGCAGCACCTCCCGGCAGCCCCGGCTGCGTCCGACTTGGCCTGAGGGGGGGATGCTCCCTAGGACAGCGCCTGCTTGGAGAGGGTCAGCTGGCCGCTGTGCGTGGCGGCCTGCGACGTGTCAGAGCGCCTAGGAGGCCTGGCACTTGTGAAGAACCTGCACTGGAAGACGGACCAGTCCTGAGGCGGGAGACGGGCCCGTGGAGCCAGAGGCAGGCTGGGCGCCAAGGTGTATGGGCCGGCTCCCGCGTCTCAGCACCTGTGTCCCCGCGTCCTCACTTAGGATCCTGCTTCCGACCTGCCAGCAGCCCCTCACCTGTGACACACGGCTGTCTACACTGGGTTCCAGTCTGCCTTGTGGTCTTCCTGGAGCCCGGGTGGTCAACATGATATCGTACCCGATGTTCTGAAGGCGCGACAGCTTGTAGACCAGCGGGGCTCTCACCCACGTGAAGTTCGGACGTCCAGATGTGCCGTGTCCTGTAGGACTCACGTGCGGCATGTTCCTGCCAGCACTGTTTTCGTGCCAGAGTTGTGCTGTTTTAGGCCCATCGCAGGTTTTATGCCTGCAAAACTATAAGTCACCATTTTTATTCGGGGGCTTTCTTGTTTGGTTTTATTTTTGGTTTTGTTTTGTGTTTGCTTTGCAGACCATGCCAGAGTGCTCGTGGCCTTCTTTAATTACTGGATCACACATGTCCTTCCTGAGAAACAGTGAATAGAATCGGTGCATCTATTTGAGAAGAGCTAACATTTGGCCAGAAACTGTAAAAGGCAAACATGAAATCGACAGAGACATGATTCCTGCGTACAAAAAGACGGAATCCCCTAAGTTTTCTTCACAGCCCAAATGGAACGTAGCCCAATGGGAACGTTGAAGACCTCACCGCCATGTTATTTATTCATGTGTTGTGCACAGCGGGCAAGATGCGATCTGAGACTTTAAGTGAGAAATTGGGATAAAATGGAAATTTTTCACTTATCTGAAATGGCTTGTCTCAGATTACTACACAGTGATCCTGTTTTTCTGATTCTGCTAAAAATTGAAAACGGATTTTCTGTTAAATAAACTACAGTTTGAAGTTGTTATTTATTTTTATGAAGCTTAAATTGCTTTGTATTTGCAAGTCTGTGTTCTAAGAACACCTTGTAGACATTAAATGTTCTGGTTTCAGTAGCTTGGCTCTAGTTGAATTTGTTATTTTCTTCCTTGTTTCCTCTTCTCTACTTTGAGAAAATCCCGAACATCATCCTGCTGTTTGATCTTTCTTATTGTTCTGGTGACAGTCACCTATGTTTAGGATTACTGGGTTTTTTAAACATCTGTCAACTGACACACTTTTTTTTTTTAATGTTTATTTATTTTTTGAGAGACAAAGTGTGAGAGGGGAAGGGGCAGAGGGAGAGGGAGACACAGAATCCAAAGCAGGATCCAGGCTCTGAGCCATCAGCACAGAGCCCGACGCGCGGCTCGAACCCACAAACTGCAAGATCGTGACCTGGGCCGAAGTCGGACGCTCAACCGACTGAGCCACCCAGGCGCCCCATCAACTGACACACATACTAGGAAATCATTGGCTGTCTATGAAAAACTATTTTTTATTGTGGTAAAATAGACACAAAGTCACCATACTAGCCATTTTTAAGGGTAGGATACTCAGCCACTATTTTAAGGCTGGATAACGCTCCACTGCATGGATACACCGCATTCTGCTGGTCCGCCATCTGTTGATGGACATTTGGGATGTTTCTCCTGTTCCTGTTGTGAATGATGCCGCCCTGAACATCACACACACAACCGTGCGGACACTTGTCTTCCCGCCTCCCGGGGGTAGAAGTGCCTGGTCTGATGGTCACTCCGTGCATGACTTTTCAAGGAACTACCAGTCTGCCGCCCACAAGGCTGCACCGTGCCACATCCACTAGCCCCTCGCCGAGGCACCATGGTCTCCACATCCTCACCGACACCGTTACTTCCTGTTTCCTTGATAGTGGCCATCTGGACAGCTGCAAAGTGTCTCGCGGTGGTTTGGGTTCACATTTCCCTAATGTTGAATGCTTCTCATGCCCTTGTTGGCCATTCTCTTTTTTGGAGAAATACAGTTGATATCATTGTCCGTTAGTGAATGGGATTATTTGTCTCTTTGTCATTGGATTATAAGAGTCCTTTCCTATTCTGGATATTCATCCCTTATCAGAGAAATGATCTTGTAGTGTTTCTTTCCCATTCTGTGACTTCTTTTCTCTCTCTTACTACTGTTCTTTGATGCACAAATTGTTTACATTTTGATGGAGTCTAACTTAATTATGTTTTCTTTTGTTGCTGGTGCACCTGGTGTTGTATCCAGGAAATAACTGCCAGACGAGTATCATTTTTCCCTCATGTTTTCTCCCAAGAGTTTTGTAGTTCTTTATAACTCTTACATTTAAGTCTTTGATCCGTTTTGAGTTAATTTCTATACATGGTGTGAGGTAAGAGTCTAATTTCATTCTTTTGTGTGTGGATGTTCAGTTTTCCCAAGATCATATATTGAAGGGATTGTCCTTTCCCCATCAAATGGTCTTGCACCCGTGTTGAAAATCATTTGACTGTGTATGTGAGAGTTTATTCTGGGCTCTCTGTTCGACTCCATTGGTCTGTGTGTGTCCTTATGCCAGGGCCACACTGTTTTCATTACTGTAGCTTCGTAGAAGGTATGAGATTAAGACGCGTAAATCCTCCAACTTTGTTCTTTTTCGAGATTGTTTGGGCTATTTGGGGCCCCTTGAGATTCCATGTGAATTTTCGGCTGGGTTTTCTATCTCTAGGAAAAACACCTTTGGTATTTTTATAGGGATTTCATGGGATCTGGAGATCACTTGGGGTGGTATGATCATCTGAACACTGTTATTTAAGTCTTCTATTCCATGAACATGGGACATCTTTCCATTTATTTCTCTACCTAAATTCCCTTTACTGATGTTTTGTAGTATTCGGTGGACTAGTCTTTCTCTCCATTAAGCTTATTGCTAAGTTGTTTTCTTTCCGATGCGATTGTAAATGCAATTGTTTTCTTAATTTCCCTTTCAGATTGTTCGTCACTAGTACAGACTTGCAGCTGTTTTTTGTATATTGGTTTTATATCCTGCGGAATCCATACATTAGCTCTAATCACGGTGTGTGCACACATTCTTCAAAGTTTTCTGCGCGTGGGATCATCTCATCTGTGAAGGAGATCATTCTTTCTGTTCCTTCCCTTCCAGTTTCGATGCCCCCATTCTCCAGAGGTCCCCTCCCCTCACATCCCTGATGTCCTTCAGAGACACCTGTTCCACTAAGTAGAACCTTCTGGAGGCAGACTGGGACAGCCAGGATTTGCTGCCAGTTCTGGAGCTCCATCGGCTTGCAGGTAGCTGCTGTTAAGCTCCCGAGCTTAACAAACGTCAGTGAGCGGAGCCACCGACCAGGCCGGGACACCCGCATGGGCCCCCACACCCTCGGTCAGGAGTGTCACCTGTGTGGGCGTCCCCCCCAGCCCCCACACCCTGGGACAGGAGTGTCACCTGCTTGGGTGTCCCCCACCCCACCAGGGTCACTGGTGTGGACCCCCCACACCCTAGGATAGGAGTGTCACCTGTGTAGGCATCCCTCCCCTCCCCTCCCACCCTCCGTCACCAGCATGGGTGTCCCGCCCACCCACTGCATCCTCTCCCCCTGACACCCAGGGGCCAGGCCCCTTCCTGCAGGGACAAGGGACCTCTCAGCAGGTGGGTGTCGGCTGCTTGCCTTCAAGGACCTCGTGGCCAGCCTCAGGAAGCCTGACTTTCTGGTGTGCCATGTTGTCACCCTCTCCACAGCCCTGCAAGTTAATAACTGTGTCTGCCAATATGAAGATATGGACAAATTCATAATTTTCCTATTAATTCTCAACATCCAATTTGTGTCCTTTAATAATGAACAATTTACATTTAACATACTACTGATGGAGAGGAAAACCCTCCAACTGGCAGACAGGGCCCTTTACTTGGTTTCCTTCTCCACACACAATCCCTGTAAACTGTCCCCCACCTCCTGCCACACCTCGCTGGGTCTCACGTTCTGTGTGCTCCTGACCACACTCGGAAATGCAGAGAAGCAGGGACAGAATCTGACAGGTGGGATGGTCAGGGTCAGCCAGCTCCGTCTCATTCTAATTCCAAACAGAAGAGTGCCTCTTCCAGAAAACAACAGCAAATAAATCCTGTCTCTAATGTGTCAGCATCAATACGATAATCTGTTTATCCCCATGGGGCTGAAGTTGGTTAGTAATTAGATCCATTTATCTTTTATGATAGTGCACAGTATTCGTGGAGTCCATGTAATTTGTTTTCTGTGAACCGTACGCATCATGGCAAAGAGAAGGAAGCTCTCAGGAAATGGGAGGAATATTTATTAGCTCGTTAATATTGAGACAGTGGTGCCTGGGAGAAAAGCCCACCCATGCTTTCCTGCAGTCCTGAAGCCCGAGAGCCTAGAGGAGGCCACGACGTGTGCGTGTGAGCACTTCTTGCCCCCCACGGCCCCGGTGCTGCAGTGTTTTCAGAGAAAAGCTGTCCTGAGCTCACCTGCACCCACCTAGCTGATTCTGGATTTTTCTTCCATGGCCAGCACTTACTCCAGGGAACGGGTCTCCTCATGTGGGCCACTCACTCTTCAGAGAGTCTGATGAAAGCATCAGACCATCTCCAAAATAAGGACTATTCACACATTTCCACCCTACCCACCCCCACACACAAATATCGTGTGCAACTTTAAAGAGGCATATTCTCCAGTGTGTTAATGTTCTACTTCTGCACAACAAACTACCACAAACCAGTGGCTTAAGACAGCATCCATTTATTCCCTCCCAGTGTCTGCGGGTCAGGGGCCCGGGCTGCCTGGGTCATGTGCTCCAGGTCTCACTGGACCTGGACTGTTGGCAGAGCTCTGTTCCTGTGGTTTAGGACCAAGGTCCTGGTTTCCTTGCTGGCTGTTGGCCAGGACATCTCTCAGCTCCTTGGGGACCCCCAGGTCCCAGCCACAGACCCCTCTGAGTCCCTCCCAACCTAGCAGTGGCCCCTTCAACCCTGGCAGAAGAATCTAGGAAGAGCTGAGCTTTCTCCAAAGGGCTTCCCCTGATGGATGCAGCCCCACCCCACCCCCAACCCCCCAGGATGCTCTCCCTTTTGACCAATTTAAAACTGATGATTGGGGACCTTCAGGACACTGCAATAAATGCGGGCAAGTCTTTATCGTACTGACGACTGCCCATGGGGCACCCTGCCACTTCTCAGTGACCGCCACACAAGATGCCTGGGTCGTGCACACATAAGTCAGAGAACACATGGGTGTCCTGTGTATACACACACATGAGTCAGCACACACGGGTGTCTGGTGGGTACACGCATGAGTTGGCACATGCAGATGTCAAGGACTGTTGTAAAAATTATGTGATTAACCCAAGGGAGGCTCCTGTCACGGAACCTGCTGCAGAGCGGAGGTGGAAAAGAGTGTTTACTGACCTAGTCCCGGGAAGTTGAGATCAGTGAGTCAGCCTGGGCAGGTGGTGTCTCTTATTTGGGGAAAACACAACAGCACTCCAGTTCCCTCAGCCCAGATTTTTAAAACCCTCCACAAATGAATGTCTTTCTTACACTCCTGATTTTATCTTCCTTTCGGCTGTGTAAATACAAATTTCCAGAAAATAATGTTATCATCAA